TGCTACTATAAAGACACATGCACACATATGTTTATTCCAGCACTATTCACAATAGCAAAGACTTGGAACCAACCCAAATGTCCATCAATGACAGACTGGATTAAGAGAATGTGGCACATATATACCATGGAATACTATGCAGCTGAAAAAAAGGATGAGTTCATGTCCTTCGCAGGGAAAAGGATGAAGCTGGAAACCATCATTCTCAGCAAACTATCACGAGGACAGAAAACCAAACCACATGTTCTCACTCACAGGTAGGAACTGAACAATGACATCACTTGGACGCACAGCGGGGAACATCACACACCAGGGCCTGTCAGGGGGTCGGGGGCTTGGGGAGGGATAGCATTAGGAGAAATACCTAATGTAAATGATGAGTTGATGGGTGCAGCAAACCAACATGGCACATGCATATACCTACGTATCAAACCTGCAGGTTGTGTACATGTACCATAGAACTTAAAGTATAATAATAAAAAAGTCCATAAAATACTTACCCTTAATGTAGGCACTACTCTTACTTTCAATCTAGAATTCTTCTTCACCTTTTACAATTTAAGGCTTTTAAAATTCTTATAATTTAAAATCAATTTATTCACTAAGTTGATTTCACCTGAACAAAAGTTTTAAAATACTATTCTAAACAGTATATTCAATGTCAGAAATGCATACGACAGGCATAGAAAACATTTTCTGTTTCAAGTAATTTGTAATTCTGGTTGTAGAGCAAGGTAAAAGAGAAAACATGAGTAAAAAATTGGAAGATTCTTTGGCAGTATAAAATCAGAATAATAAAATAATAAAATTAAAAATATACCCAATCCTTTCCACACTTTCAAGGTCTTCCCACTTCCAATGTCAATCACAAGTACAGTACAACTGGCTCTCCATATCCGTGGGATCCATATCTATGGATTCAACCAACTCACAGATGGAAAACATTCAGTTAAAAAATTTTTACATGTTAAAAAATTCATGTAAAGTATTTTAATTACATGTTAAAAATATTCAGTTAAAAAAATCTGTACATGTACTGAACATGTATAGATTTTCCTTGTTATTATTCCCTAAACAATAGAGTCTAACAAATATTTACCTAGCATTTATATTGTATTAGGTATTACAAGTAATCTAGAGATGATATAAAGTAAAAAGGAGGATGAACATAGGTCATATACAAATACTGCCATTTTATATCAGAGACCTGAACATCCTCAAACTGTGGTTTCCAAGGAAAGTCTCAGAACCCATTCTCCAGGGATACTGAGAGTCAACTGCATTTGCAATCAAGAAACCAAGAAACGTCCTTCTCTTGGCATGGGAGCTTCACTTTAAAAGAGATTCAATACAAACACAGCACAGAGGCACTTGTGTGCAATATAATAACATAAAAAATTATACTGGGACAGCAGAGAAATGGCTTCATATTTTAAAAACTATAAAATCTGCTAATGAACCACAACTGATTCTGCTGTAGTTTTCTTAATGCATTCTTCCGTAAATGCAGTTGCACTAGTTATTATAATACAATGATATATTTCACACTTGAAAACACAAAATAATTCCTATATCTGCTTGGGGATTCATTTTTACTTCTATTCAAACCAGGTTACACAAAATATATATTACGATTTAAGTTGACATAATAAGACAGTAATTTCTAAAATTAAAGTCTATAGTGAAAGAAATTGCTTTATAGGTCTTCTCTTTAACGTATCTGGACTAAAGAGAAATAAGTTTTTAACCCGGGTAGACATTCATTATTGAGAGACCTTACATAGATAGACCTTACTAAAAGGCATTCAAGAAATACAATCACTAGTAGAAAGCAGAATGAGAAGTCAAACAGTTCTGTTCAAACCGCCAAACTGTGCCATGTATAAGGTGATGACTCAAGGCCTTCTTCATTGTGAAAGGCTGTCCTCACTCCACATGTAATGCACAGCTGTACTACAACCTCCAGATCACTATTTTTTTTTTCAGTAGAGTACCTGATTTTTATTGTTTCTTTCTCTTTGCCATCTCTCACTTTTTGCTACTCTAGGCATTTCTATTTCTCTTAACCTAAACGGCACTACAAATTCCAGAGTGTCTAAATTACATACAAAGTAACAATAAAAGGCTTCTACATAAGGATCTGAGGTGTTTCCTAATTGAGCAAAGTATATGAACTTAAAAACACAACCTTTATATTTATTTTGGCCACTTACCAGATCTTACTTGCTCACCTGACAAATAACTCGCTTGACTATTTTATGTTCAAAATAGTAGCATTTCATTTGATTCTCCCAACAACCCTATGAAGTGGAGTTATTACTAGTCCAATTCGACAAATGAGAAAACTGAGGCAACGAGGGTGTTAAATTGTGTCCCCCAAGGCCAAGGGACTAGAATATGGCAGAGGATTATCTAGATCCTAACCCAGATACTCTGAGTCCAATGTTTGTGCTCATAAATGCCTGTGGCAATATGAATATATCAGTGTGGTTAGTACTCCCCACTTAAATATCTTTAACAATCTTATGGGAAAAAAATACAGAAATAACTATATCAATTACTCGATGTCTAGGAGATGAGAAGCCCTAATTGCCTCCTTTTACCTCTCCAAAAGCTACTCTGAAAGACATAACTGAGGCAGAGAAATGAAAAGCCAAAGGAACACCAATGGGTCAACAAAGCTGATAAGGAAGTTTTCCAGGGTCTAGCCTTATTTAGCATTACGCTGAGCCTATCCTATAGTGGATCCAGACACAGGACTCTCCATTGCCATTTGAAGACTTACTTACCAAGGATGACTTAGGGCTGTTCCTTCTGAGATGTAGTTCTAAATGCTCTCTGAATGCCTACCGAATACTTGTATATTTTAGCTTTCAATAAACATTCCTTGAGTAAATGCGGGCTTGGTATTCTGCGCTCTCTGCTGCCATACCAAACTGTAAGCTTGTCTGACTAACAATCATACCTACAGCTCCTTGAAAGCAAGAAATACCTTACCATTTTTAGTTTCTCAATACCCAGCACCATTCCAGGCACATATGGCATTCAATAAGATGTTTGGTAAATAAATGAGCGCAAAAGCAAATGTGCCTGGCACAAAGCAGTATCAATTCAGATGTTTCTCCTTAATTTGAGATTCTGTGTGTGTTTGTGTGCATAAAAGGTATGTGCATTCTTGAACAACATTAAGAATTCCTTTGGCCAGGTACAGTGGCTCCTACCTGTAACCCCAGAACTTCTGGGAGGCCAAGGTGGGAGGATCACTTAAGTTCAGGAGTTTGAGACCAGCCTGGGCAACATACCGAGACTCTATCTGTACCAAAAAAAATTTTTTTAATTAGCTGGGTATGGTGGTGCACATCTGTAGTCCTAGCTACTTAGGAGGTTGAGGTAGGAGGATCACCTAAGCCCAGGAGTTTGAGGTTACAGTGAACTAAGACCATGCTAATGCACTCCATCCTGGGCAACAGAACAAGACCTTATCTCTTTAAAAAAAAAAAAAAAAAAAAAAATTGTTATTATATCTTATCTCTTTGACTCAACTCACTAGCTATTTTCCTACTGAAGCAAACCTTTCTCAATTTGTATATATGATACATATCTATTTATAGAAAGAGATCTTATGTGCAAACTAATGATAACAGCAAAATTAAACCAGAGCCATATTTAAGCCCCCCATCCAATACCTACTTCATTCTTGTAAACCATAATTTCCTGCCATCATCAAAGAAATGATACTCTGTATTTTTACATTACTAGCCCTTTTTACAGATGGGAAATATGTAAACATAATCCAATTATGAGAAATGTTTAAGAGACCTAAGATTATGACTGTTTCTTAGATTATAAACACCTTATATGGGTTGATATGCCCTAATGTGAAAATCTGCAATCCAAAATGCTTCAAAGTCCAAAACTTTCCGAGCACTGACATGACACTCAAAGGAAATGCACATTGGAGCATTCCAGATTTCAGATTTTCAGGTTAGGGATGTTCAACTGTTAAATATAATGCAAATATTCAAAAACAAACAAAAAAATCAAAATCAAAAACACTTCTGGTACCAAGCATTTCAGATAAGGGCTACTCAATCTGTAGCATGTTGGATTTAACAAACTGTACACGGCAATATAATTTAAACTTGTACCCTACCAAATAAGTCAATGAACAAAGCACTGGGTTAAGTGCTTGTATACATCATCTCATTTAACCTTTGTAACAACTCTTCAAGGTGTATATAATTATTATTACCATTTTACAGACAAATAAATGAAGACTCAAGGTTGTACACCTAGCTAGTAAGTATAGAAATCAGAATACACACCCAGCTTTAACTAATACCTGAGTTATTTAGCTACTCACAACTCTATCCCACAGTATACCCTCAACAAAGCAAAAAATTTTCTAAATCATAACTGCCTAACTCTAACATTGTAATAATACACCATACTTGCTTTTAACTACATCCATCATTCTGAGAAGGAAAACTGATCGCCTCCATAAGTGCCACACCTACTTTCCCACCTTAACCACTGAAATCTTGAATCATATGAGAGCTGTTTATTACTAACATCCTTTTTCTGAAAACCATACTGTGCCCCTCCACTGCCATGAAAAACACTATTGGCACCCACAGCAATGCTCTGTATAAAACTTGTCACAGCTATTAGTGGTAATTATCACTACCTTAGGTGACTCTGGAGTCTCAGAAGACTTGAACACTCTAATGTAAGTTTTAAAGGTTTATGTAAGATCTACCACACCAAATGCTGAGTAAAACCATCTGGAAAAAACAAGGAAATTACATGATTAAATATAGTTAAATGTCTCTCTACACGGAACAGCTATTTGAGAAGATCAATTGTATGCTATTTTTGTTCCAAAAGAGCAAGGTTTGCAGATTTTGTTTATATACCCATAGGCTAAACATCAAAACTGAAGGAACCAAACTGTCCTGTTTTTCTCAACACTCAAAGACAATCAGGCAAGAGAAGTTCATTTACCATGACTTACATATTATTTACATATTTTTTTCCTTTTCCCTTTTTCTGACTTACCTCCATGGCCTCAATGAATTTTGGGCCATACATAAAAGAGAATTATTAAAGTAAAAAGAGGTCATTTCTTCTACTCTCCCTCTGAAAGAAGCAAGGAAACTTGGAGGTTCTTCAGAAACATACCAAGATTTTTACTGGATACATCCCAAGTCTTCCTTCTTCCTCACTCTCTGTATTCAATCAATGGAAAAGTTCCACTGATCTTCACATCTGAGTAACTCTTTAATTTGCCTAGTTGTCCCTATCTCTAATGCCACTACTCCAAGTTAAAACAACACATGCAAATGCCTGGATTACTGAGGCAACCTAACTAACTAGTCTTGGTAACTACTTTGCTTCTTTCCATTCACTCCTCACCTTCCATCCAAAATGACTTTTTCAAAACCATTAGCTACTCAGATGTCACCCTCCCTAAAGTCTTTCAATGACTTGCCATCGTTTTCATGATAAAATCAACTTAACATGGCTTAGAAGACTCTTCTTTCTAACCTGGCTCCAATCAATTTCTCCAGTCTTACCTTTTGTCACTTCTGTCTTCATATGCTTTATAGCCACATAGCTCTTCTTCCAGATTCTCAAACTCTTCATGTTGGCTCTGTGGATTTGTTTTGCATCTTAGCTACTGGATAATCTCTTCCTTCCCCACGTACTCTGCTTCCCCACAGCCTCCCAGCCATCTTTAACCTCATTCCTACATAACCTTTATGTCTACATCACAGTTCTTTCTCTGAGAAGCCTTACCTAATCATTCTAGGTAAGACTGGGTGCCTCCTTCCACATACTTCTCCTATTACAGCTCTTACCATTACTTTAGTATAATTACTTCTTTAATTATCCAGTCTTCCTCATTAAACTACATGCTCATTAGAAAAGGGATTATTATGGGTACTTGCCCATCCCTATATCCCCCAACACTGAGCACAGTGCCTAGACACATAGCACAGACTTGACGTTTTTATATTGAATAAATGAGCAAACAAAAATAAAAATTTGGAGGAAAAAATTGAAAGGAACAGATTTAAAAGATATTTTAACCATCAAATATCTCATATCAATAGACATCCTCAAGAAATAAATGGGACTTTTAGATTCTGCTTAGGATGTAGAAAGGTAGAAAGTATGTCATTTTCACCCTTAAAACAAAGTAAAAGATGGATGCTGTGCAAAATCACAAATTTTCTTGAACCCAGCACAAAAGGTAACTTTAAATCTAAGTAACCGATCTAAAATCTAAAGACAGACAGGATTTCGAAGGGAGAGATGGGACATGAGACCTACTTTACCTATAGTAAACACTGGACACCATACAAGCCAACAAGAACTTGGTTAAAAAAATTTTTTTAATTACTGCAAGCCAAATGTGGACCTGCAGCTAGGGGAAGCAAACGAAACAAAAAAACCCTCTACCCCACTTAAAGAAGGGGCAGGATCTTTGAAAAAGCCCCATACCTGTGACCCAGAGAAAATGGAAACATCTAGCTAAAACTGAGACTAGAAAAATCCAACACAAAATGTCCTCCCCATCTCCCATCAAAAGCAGGCTAGTAAGTCTCAAACAACATGTAACAGCAATGTACTACAGTCAGGTGTCACGTAATGACAGGGATATGGTCTGAGAAATGCATCATTAGGTGATTTCATTGTGAGAACATCACAGAGTATACTTACACAGACAAAGACAGTATAGCCTGGTACATACCTAGACTATACAGTATAGTATAGTATTGGTCTTAGGCTACTAAACTCTACAGCATGTTACTGTACTGAATACTGCAGGCAACTGTAACACAATGGTAAGTATTTTGTTTATCTAAATATAGAAAGGTACAGTTAAAATATGGTATTATAATCTTAGGGGACTATCATCATATATGCAGTCTGCTGTTGGCCAAAACATTGTTATGTAGCGAATGACCGTTCGTGAGCAAAGAGCTAAAGCATGGAGAAATACCTTCTCTGAGATGCAAGTTCAAAGGGAAGACCTAAAGCTGAGGGTAGAGTAGACATTAAGAAAAACTCTCTGGCAAACTAAATCCTACCCTAAACACGAAGTAATGCTAGAGAAACTTGAAGCCTGTGGTAAATTAAAGGTAACCTAGCAATAACAATCCCCCAACACTCCTTCCCACTATACACACACACACACACACACACGTGTCTCAGGAAAAGACAAAGCATGTCCATTTCCAGGCATAAATACTATTTAACTGGCTCTCTACACAAAATGTCCAGATTTCAACCAAAAAAAAAAACAAAACAGAAAAGAAGCAAAGAAAAAAAACAAAACACAAAACCACACTGGCAAGAGACAAAACAATCAATGGAACCAGATTTGGACACAACCATCATGTAAGAACTATCAAACACAGAATTTATAGGTTAAATGCTCTAACAAAATATGTAGATAACATGCATACACAGATGTGTAATTTAAGCACAGGGAAGGAAACAGTAAGAAGAGATCAAACGGAAATGCTAGAAATAAAAATATAGTAACAGAGATGAAAGCTTTCAACAACCTTATCAGAAGACCAAGACAGTCATAGAATCAGTAAAGACCAACAGAAACTACCCCAAAAAAACATAACAAGAGAATGAAAAACAGAGAAGAGAACATCCAAGTGCTATGGGACGATATCAAATACTCCAACATATGTGTAACTGGAATTCTAGAAAGACAGTAAGACAGAAACAAAATATAAAGAGATAACCAAAGTTTTTCAAAATTAATACAAAAGAATCCAAAAAGCTCAGAGAACACGAGGTAGCATCAAATAAACAATAACAACAACAAAAATTCACAATTAGACACATCATATTCAAACTGATGGGGAAAAAAATCAAAGATAAAGAGAAAACCTTGAAGGCTGCCAGAGTTTAAAAAAAAAAAAAAAAAAAAAGACATAATACAATGGAACAGGATAAGAACTTTCAGAAACTATGAAAGCCAGATGCCACTGAAGTGCTGAAAGAAAAAACTCTCAATGCAGAAATCTATATCCATGAAAATATCTTTCAAACTGAAGAAGAAATAAAAAATGTTCAGGCTTGTGGTCCATTCCAAGATGGCCAAATAGAAACAGCTCCAGTCTGCAGCTCCCAGTGTGACTGATGCAGAAGATGGGTGATTTCTGCATTTCCAACTGAGGTACCTGGTTCATCTCACTGGGACTGGTTGGACAGTGGGCGCAGCCCAGGGAGGGTGAGCCGAAGCAGGGCGGGGCGTCGTCTCACCCGGGAAGTGCAAGGGGTCCGGGGATTTCCCTTTACTAGCCAAGGGAAGCCGTGGCAGACTGTACCAGGAAAATTGGGACACTGCCACCCAAATACTGCGCTTTTCCAATGGTCTTAGCAAATGGCACACCAGGAGATTATACCCCACGCCTGGCTCAGCAAGTCCCACACCCACAGAGCCTTGCTCACCGCTAGCGCAGCAGTCTGAGATTGAACTGCCAGGCGGCAGCCTGGCTCGGGGAGGGGCATCCACCATTGCAGAGTAATGGTAAACAAAGTGGCCAGGAAGCTCAAACTGGATGGAGCCCACTGCAGCGCAAGGAGGCTTGCAGGCCTCTGTAGACTCCACCTCTGGGGGCAGGGCATAGATGAACAAAAGGCAGCAGAAACTTCTGCAGACTTAACGTCCCTGTCTGACAGCTCTGAAGACAGCAGTTCTCCCAGCACAGTGTCCGAACTGTGAGAATGGACAGACTGCCTTCTCAATTGGGTCCCTGACCCCCGTGTAGCCTAACTGGGAGACACCTCCCAGTAGGGGCCAACTGACACCTCATATTCATACTCGTACTCAGAGGGTGCCCCTCTGAGACGGAGTTTCCAGAGAAAGGATCAGGCAGGAATATTTGCTGTTCTGCAATATTTGCTGTTCTACAGCCTCCACTGGTGATACCCAGGCAAACAGGGTCTGGAGTGGACCTCCAGCAAACTCCAACAGACCTGCAGCT